CATCCTCGTAATTCCCAACTAATAATAAACAAAAATAAAATTAGGTCATGACCAGACGACCACTGCACCTGCATGTTTTATGACGATGTCAGACCATAAATTATGAAATCGAATCCAAAACACAAAACAAAATCCTATACATAATCAGACAATTACATTTTTGTTTCTTTACTCAACTATCAGAAGAATCAACTTTAAAAAAAGGCAAAAACAAACTAGTGGATAATCTATAGAAAAATTAGCATATATAATCCCAAATAAACTATTATATACAAACTAATCATTTTTAGTTCTCTTTATCTTTTCTTATCTCTCTCTCTAATGTTTTGGTTAGAATATAAATTATAATTCTTTTTTATTATTGTTACAAATCACTCTAATCTATATAGGTTTTGTTTTTCCTATCAAATATAAACGTTGAAGGTTTTTGTAACGAAAATATACGTGAAACTGTTCAAATAATAACAAAAATATATATATTGTAACATTAATATATATATATATATAAATACATATTTTTTTACTGTTTGATTTGTGACAATGTATGAATAAATTATTTAAATGTATGTCAAAAAAATAAAAATACATACTATATGTATTATTATTTTTTAAATGAAAAATATACAAGAGGAAATAAAATTGTGAATGGGATAGTAGTGTAGTAATAAATGTTATAATCTAGCTAATCACATAATTCTACAAAAACAAATAAAATAAAAGAATGAAAAAAAAATGATAAAAAGTTGGTATAAGTATCAAAAACACTAAACCACTCTCTCTCTGAACGAAGCTTCGTGGAAGCTGCAATGGCTTCCCTCTTTCTCTCCCCATTTAATACCTTCCCCTTCCTCGCTCTTTCCTCTCAAACCACTCACTACCAATCAATTCTTCTTCTTCTCCTACAATCTCTCAATCTCTCTCAATCATCTCTCCGATATGAAGCTCGCCGCAAGCCTCAGCTCCAAATTCCTCAGCCTTAGCCCCAAACGTCTCTTCCGATCCAAATCTAAATCCTCAGTCACCAGATCTGATCCTTCTTCCTTCAGCTCCGTCGCTTCTTCCTCTTCCTCCGATGGATCTTACGGAAATCTCAAACCGAACCCAACCGCGACTCCGATCAGTGTCCTCCCCGGAGATCGAGATTTTTACTCCGAGTTGATTCAGGCTTTCAAATTACTCGATCGCGACGACGACGGTGTTGTTTCGAAAGGAGATCTAGCGAATCTGATTACTAGACTGAGTCCTGAACCACCGAGCCATGAAGAAGTGAGTCTGATGCTGAGAGAAGTCGACGGAGGAAGAGACGACGACGAAGAAGGTTGTATCAGTCTCGAAGATCTCGCTAGCCGAGTCGCCGGAACTTCTTCCGTTGAAGGATCGGAGGAGATGAGAGAGGTTTTCGAGTATTTCGACGCGGATCGTGACGGGAGAATATCGGCGGAGGAGTTATACAGAGTGTTTGGAGTGATCGGAGATGAACGGTGCACGTTAGAAGAGTGTAGGCGTATGATAGCGACTGTTGATAAAAACGGTGACGGTTTTGTTTGTTTCGATGATTTTTCACGAATGATGGATCTTCATACTCCTCCTACTATAAACGATGAATGATGATCATATTTATGTATGATTGTATGATGGTGATATAAGCCATTTTTTTTTTCTCGTTTCAAAATTATTTATTAATAATGTAATTTCCTATTTTTGCGGCAAAGTATTTAAATCGCTAATCGTCGGTTTAAATTCAAATGTCTTTCTAAATGGGTTAATTTACTTTATATGCAAATGTTCTTATATAGCTTTGGACTCTTATCTTAGTAAAACTCCATATTTTAGTTAAATACGGTAAAAAATGATTACATCAGAAAACAATTAATCGGATTCCAAATGATTTTAAGTAAAAACAAATAACTTCGTGTTCGCGCTTCTTTTAAAAGATTCGAAAATCACTATACTTATTTTGAAAAATACCAAAATTATCTAATATGGTTTTGAGTCTGTTATTATGTTAAAAATAACTTTAACTCGTATGATAATTTGAGAGAAAACCTTGTCGATTTTTGTTTTCATTAAAAATTGTTTTACTTCAAATTAAGTTTAACTTCTCAAACACATGAACATTAGTGAACTAATCAATCCAAGACTTAAGAAAAAAAATTAACTTACTTCTCAATAGAATATAACTTTTCTTGTAAGAGTTTTATTCACAATGTTTTTACTCTCTTTATCATACCAAATGTACACATGTGATGTGTTAGTAAAACCATTATAACTACATTATATATGTTGTTCGATGTTCGAATTACATTATTTTTCTGCTTGTCAACTTATATAAACCACCGAAAATTACACATTTGCTAACGACTTTAGATACAAAATTTCGTATTGAAAAAGAAATAGAGAGAATGGGGAAAAAATTGGATGGACTTGTGTCCACAAGAAATGTTAAGCAAGTGCGTCGACCAACTGTCCTCCACTCGACCCGTGCCCTATGGAGTATGGTCGTTATGGACCCTCCTCACATCTCCAATGTTTTTTCTTCTTTTTCTTGTTCTTGTTCTTTTATTAAATGCGAATCTATATACCTTTACTAGTCTTTATTGTTCTAAATTAACTTGTAACAGATTCCACAGAACTCTAAACTGGAAGTAAACAAAAGATACATGAACCACAAGATTCACAACTCTTGTAAATTCTGATGAAAGTTGACCAAGGATTTTAGCGAAGTTCAGAGAATATCGAAATTGAGGCGAATATTTTATATCTATGTATTTTAATTAAACTTGTAAATTAATTTTATATATAAATCGTTAGATTCCTTGATATTGAGTCGCTGGTCCACAACATTCTAATAGTTTTTTTTCGAAATCATTGAGATTTTTTTTGTCAAAGTTTGTGTCAAGACTAAAACTACAAATCATGCCAACCCTAACAATAT